TCTATCTATCATCTATCTATCTATCTATCTATCTATCTCTATCATTATCTATCTATCATCTATCTATCTATCATCTCTCTGTCAATCATTATCTATCTATCTATCTATCTATCTATCTATCTATCTGTCATCTATCTATCTATCATCTATCTATCTATCATCTTTATTCTATCTATCATCTATCTCTATCTATCTATCTATCTATCATCTATCTATCTCTGTCTATATATATTCTTGGAAATACTTCTTTGGAAGTTGGAGAATTGGTAAATTTTTATTTTAAAATAATTTCTTAGTTTTTCTTTCTTTAAAAACTAGCATGATTACATAGAAAGACTTTGTAAAGGTTTGGAAAGGGAATGACTGGCAAACACATATTATAGGAATAGGGACAGATATTAGAGTGGGTAATTTTTAAAATGAATTATAATTTAATGTTTAATGCAGGATAGAGTTTTGAAGAAGCTTCTTGACCAAACAGCTAATTTAGCTGCTCAGAATTTATCACACCATCCCTTTGAAGTTTATATAATTCTTTCCTCTGAGAAAATATATTCTGTACATTAGTCATTTCTGTGCTTTGAGGAAATCTCTGTTCCCTACCATGTTGTATGAAAAATTTCTCAGATACAACTCTCAACTTTCTTCTTTCTATTCTGTTCTGATACCTTGTTAAGTTAGTTAACTTGTTAGCCATAATTCATTTTCAAGTGTTAATTATGCATCCTGTAGTTTAAAGATAAAATAAAAATTATGGAAATAAATTGCTGATCTGGATAATTGTTCTGCACTATTTGGTGAGAAAGACCAAATGTATATTCGACAAGTTGGTTAGGAAGTTTTGACATTCTGCCTCCTCAAGGTACTCTGTAAAGGTACAGAAAGGGAAACTTCAAAGGAAAGAGGGATGAGAGATGGCTGGAATGGAGAAAGAGGAAGACCTTGGATGCAAGGCTGTTTTTCCCACCAAGCACTTAGTATTTCTAAGTGCCATGCCTTGCTGTACCAGTGTCTGAGTCTGTGATAGTTAGACTTCAGCTATAAGAAGAAACCTAACATTATAAAATGAAGAGAATCCTTTCTGAGTGATATATTTGAATCTTACTCATTTTGAAGTTTGCAGTGGTAAAAAAAGATCACAGCAATTGCCTGAAAAATCAATACTTATGAATCTTGTGGAATAGTGAAAGCTGCAAGCATCTCCTTGCAGACTGCTAGCATTAGAAAATTAACCTGTTGATGAGATACTGCTTTACAGAATTCAGCCAAGATTCAAGACTTATGTATTAACTCTAGTGTAGAAAAGACACAAGAAGCAATATTAAAGATTAGTGAAAATGTCACATAAAGTTGTTCAAGTAAATTTCATTTTCATAAGATAAACATAAAATGGACCTGACAATGCACGTTTATCAACACATACTTTTGAAGACTAAAATTTATAGTTCTATAATACATTGACACAAATATTTGAATTACTAACCAATATAAAAATCATGTTCAGATACAACAAAAAATTCTTCCTGTATTAGCTTCAGTAAGTTTAATGTAAATAATGCTACATTAATCACTTCTAATACTAATACAGCACCGGATCACTTAATTTTATTCTATCTTCTCCTCCCTTTTGGCATTTCTGGGGCTCAATCCCAGGACCTGTGCATGTTGGGCTAGTTCTCTATCACTGAGCTGCATCTCCAGTTGTAGTACTTGGTTTCTGCTGAGTTAAATTGTAGAGAGATCATCTAATTTTGTCCTCTTCTTTTGATGCAGAATTATTCTGAAAATCACTCAAGTCACTGTAGGTTCCTCTTAATCCTTTTCTGGGAAGAATATATTATTCAGCATGTGTTCTACAAAGATGCTCTATGATTTTAATTTGACTCTTCAGAATACTTTGTCTTTAACTTAGTCAATCACTTATTCTGACTTGTAGTTGAATTAAATGTTGGAATCCTTATTAAACCTTTTAAAGTTAAGCAAATAGTATGGTTTCTGTCATTGTTTTCTATTTTCTTTGTTAAATATTTTTAATAACTTTAGATGATTCCTTCTAAGACTAAGCTAATAAACTGGTAAACTAGCATGTAATGGCTTGAACAAAGTCAGAGAAGAAAGAATACATTATCAACTGGGTTCTCATAAGGGGTGGAGGTACGATCATTACAGGGCCCTTGCAGGGCCAGATCTGAAGGATCCAGGGCAGTCAGTGGGTTAGTGGCAGTGGCTAAGGAGGTTTTCTAATCCTGCAGTCTGTCTTTGAGTTATCAGTTAGCAGAGTTAGCAGTACTGCAATGATGGCACATCCAGGGGGCTTCATTTTACAAAATTGGAAAGCTAAAAATACTTCAGAAGATCACTTAGTTTATCTTTTAGTCTATATTAAAACACAGCTGTATTAGAGCTCTTAAGGACCTCCTAAGGAAAAAAAAATATGAAGTAATTTAGAATAATAAAGGTATTCTGGTTTATAGATATATGATTTTTAAATAAAATTTCCTTTGAGAGTGTAATTATATAAGTAAGATGCTGAGGAGAGTTTTGAATAAATTTGTAAAAATCAGCAGCACTGTAGACCACCTGAAGATCAAATTGGTTTAAGCATATCCTTCTGCAGAAAAGGTTAATACTGTATCTGCAAGCAGAAATCATGTGAATACACATTAAA